CTAAACCCCCAAAACCCTAAGCCCTACATCTTTTGGGTGCATCTCAACAGATCCGAGGTCCCGTCCGCCCGACCCGCTGGAGCCCTGCAAGCTGCGAGATAGCAGCGGCCCCATGTTCAGCTTTTTTGGGGCTTTCTGAGGGTGTGCCATTGTAGTATTGGGTTCTGTTGATGGGGGTTCTGAGGGGTGCCGCAATGAGGGCATTGTGGGGTGCAGTACGGGCGTGAAAGGGCGCGAAAATATAAGGTTTCATATATGGATTCCAGAGGTTGTCGGATCGTGATTAAATGATTATTATCGTCATCACGATAAGACGAGGATGTTCGTCGACGTTCACAGGTAGCACTGACCAGGAACCTTACCAAGAACATAAGCTTCAAAAGCCATAGTGGCGCAGCCCCTAAACCTTAAACAGGGATCCATCTCACGTGGCGCGAAGGGAGCGAAGGACCCGAATCTTATTCTAACTATATAGTATACTATACCCAAAAACCCTATTCGAATTATGAGGGCCAGTATTTTACGTCTGAAAGGCGCGCGCGCACAGAATCCTCAGAAGCATTGGTTAGAGCGATATGCATGGCTTGGGCGTTTTAGGTGTGATCATCAGCTCGCTTAGTACTGCTTCGCGGACTTCCCGAACGTCGTTCTACAGCTTCCTGCTTCCAGATCCGCAGCAGAAAGTGCTGATTGGGCGGGCGAGAAAATGCGACATCGTGGCCGGGAGCCCGGACAATGATGTTTGCCGAGCATTGCGTCATGTCAGCGAAAATCACGTCATGGTGCCTTGGCCACTCGGCCTCAACAGCTCTTCCGCTTTGCTTGACGCACGTTGGCCATTTGTTCATTAGCCCCGCATTGCAGAGGTGAAAGATGAACGCCACTTGGACGCAACCGAGTAGATTCCTACAGCTCGCTGCCCATGAGCCCAAGCCCCCCACAATCTTGCAATGAAGCTGGGGAACTACACACACACACACAAAACAATCCTGAAGCCCTAAACTGTCTGGTGCTTAGTAGGGAATGGAGGAATGGATCGCTATGATAGTCCCTTGAGGTCCCTTATAGTAGCCCCTGTAACCCATTCCCCCATTCCCTACTAAGCACCAGACAGTAAGCCCCGAGACTGTTTCATTAGGCTCTACTTGTAGGACTACCCTAAACCCTAAACCCTAAACCCTAAACCCTAAACCCTAAACCCTAAACCTAGGATTGCTTTGCTTGTTCCAGGCTGTTCACGACAGCAGCGAGCTGAGTCGGGGCAGGGATGCGGCTTCTTGCAGAGAGGCTCAAGGAGCTTCGTGGGGATTTTCGTACGGTAGGCCTCTTCTTTTGGGGATTCTAACCATAAAGGACCCTACCATTTCGGGTCCCTTTGGTAGGTGTTCTTAAGACAAGGATCCTGCTGTTGAGGGCTCTGAATCGTGTGTTGCTTGCAGTAGCTTTCTGGGTTGAGGGCTTGGAGAGGCAGGATCAGGAGTCGTGAACTTAGCAGAGCTTAGCTCGCGTTTCTTTTTTTGCATTCCCGGTATCCTTTCTCTTTGCTTGTCCCTGAGCCCTAAATCCTGAACTCTGACCGAAGGAATGGTCCTTTCAGTTCCTCAAGATTCGGGTTCCTATTGTACTCCCCTCGGAGGTAGGGGTCTACAGTACCTTGTGCTTCAGCTGCGAAGTGTACCTTAGGACTGATTCTGGTACAGTCGCCAATACAAGGGTAAGTTGGGCTCTGCGGAAACTGACCCCCATCCACTGTCGGCGCCGGCATACTTAGTTTTCCTCCGGGTGCCTTGTTCTACTTAAAGGATCATGGGACTTAGTAAGTAGGGTTATAACTAAGGTAAATATGCTTATAACCCCAATTAGGGGACTTAGAACCTTACTTACTAAGTCCCATGATCCTCCAAGTAGGAAAAATTTTCATCCTATTCTGCACCAAGGCCCTGTTCGAAGTATTCAGGCCCCGATGCGAAACCCGAAGAAACAAGGCTTCTAGAAACTCTCATAGACCCGTTTACAGGAAGAATTAAAGCCTCTAAGGAGGCCCTATATAAACCCTATTCTGATAAAAAAAAGCCCTCTATGCAAGGAAGGGCTTTAGACACTTTTATAGACCCTTTTACAGGAACCCTTAAAGCCTTAAAGGGAACCCTAAACTCTATTCCGAGAAATTAAGCCCTCTCTGCAAAGGAAGGGCGAGCTCCTAAACCCTAAACCCTAAACCCCTAAACCCTAAACCCTAAACCCTAAACCCTAAACCCTAAACCCCTAACCCCTAAACCCGAGGCATTTGCAAGTCTCCCGGGACGGAGACCTAGCGCTCTTCGTGGTGAAGCAGCTGGGGGCCAATGGCTCCTGGGTGAACGACAACAGGCCGAGGGCTTTAGGGTTTGGGGTCTAGGGGTTTAGGGTCTAGGGTTTAGGGTTTAGGGGATTTGGGTTTGGGGAGCCATGATCAGGCGCGGCATCTGCCAAAAGTTGTTCAACAACGGTACATTGGCAACCACTTTCATTGTCCTGGGTGGGGTGGGAGGTGTTAGGGAAGCTCCAAGACCGTTACGTTTGGCCTCAAGCGGCAGCCGCAGCCTCCTTCTCATGTTTATTGCTACCGCCGACTACAGGACCCAGCCCACATTGTCAAAGATTCATGAGAGGAGCTTTCATGAAACTAGGGTAGTCAGGGTCCCGGATTCTCTGACGGCACGATGGAAGTCCGGGACCCCCTCGCATGATGCCATGCCGATGATCGCGAGACTGCGTGGTCGGCGCCAGCTCCTGCAGACTGCAATCGCCGTCACCGCCATTTCAGGGCTGGCCCGGCTCTGGAAGAGCCCGTGTTTCGCCTCCTCTGTGCCACGGATGCAGCGCGCGGCAGCCGTCATCGAGCCGGAGCAGTGTGAGGAGGTGGGGGTTTTTTCAATCTAGTGTCTGGGATCCCAGTAGTCACAGAAGTCAGGATGTTGTAAGACTTGGGGTCCCTGATTCTCCGAAAATGCCCAGATCGAGTTTGACATGTGGGAGCGCGCCCATGTCGACGAGAACGTCAGCGCAGACGAATTCGCCAAAGCGCGAAGCTCAGTGCTCTGTTTCTATTAGGCCCCGTAACGGAAATCTGAAGGGAACCACAGGCCGCATAGGGTTTAGGGTTTAGGGTTTAGGGTTTAGGGTTTAGGGTTTAGGGTTTAGGGTTTAGGCAAACCCACAGCCTTGCAACCGGAAGCCCTAAATTAATTGGCCCTAAACCCGAAAAGAGACCTTGATATCGAATTATCGGGGAACTATCGGGGCATTCATCGGGGCTTTGAGCTCAACCCTTCAAGAGACCTGAACGTACATCTATCAGAATGATGCATCAAAGAGACGTGAATGTAGAGACACGCGCTTTCTATGTTCTTCTCATGCATTCCTGAGAAGACTACAAGTTAACTTCGTGCACAAAACCTTGAACTCTTTGTTATAGAGGGCAGATAAATTAGAAATACAGTCTTGTAGGGCCCTTTTTGCAATCAAAACGAGTGACAGGTGCGAAGGTCTTCGGCTAGCAGGCTAGTTCCGGCAAATCCGAAACTGTAGCAGAGAATCTATTGCCCTACACCCTAAACCCCAAACCCTGAGTCCATTAGGTGCGAACGGTCTTCGGCTACGGCTCATTGATCTTCCGCCCTGGCTTCCCGTACCAGCGCATGTACCCGGCCTCTGGGCACACGTAGGGTTTAGGGTTTCAGGTTCGGGGTTTAGGGTTTCAGGTTTCGAGTTTAGGGTTTAGGGTGTAGACTTTAAGGTTTCGGGCTTTAGAACTTTAGGGTTTTCAGGTTTAGGGTTCGGGCGTCAGGTTTAGAGTTTAAGGGTTCGGGCTTCAAGGTTTCACAGTTTAGGGCTTGGGGCTCTAGGCTGTAGGGTAAGGAACCTGTAGTATGTACATACAAGCATACATGTATACACATACACACTCACACACACACACATGTTGATCTGCATCACACTACGTATATGGATATATGGATATATGGATATATGGATATATATATATATATATATATTTATTTATCGAAAAACATGCCTTCCCTTTGAGCGGTTACTTAAGTTGAGATCCAGCAAGATCCCAGGCCTGCGTCCGAGGATATCTTCGCCGCTTCTGGCAGATGTCCTGCGATCACCGAGGGACACCCGAGTTCCCAGGCGGGTTCGAAAGGGTTCCTTTAGAGTGAAGGTCGCTTTTCAAAGTCCCCTGTAAGAGTTCCTTTACGAGTGCCTTTTGGGTTTAGGGTTTAGGGTTTAGGGTTTAGGGTTTATTAAAGGTTTCTTCAAGGGTTCCTCGAGGGGTTCATTAAGGATTCCATTGTGGGGCCCTCAACCCTAAACCCGAGCGGCATGGATGCCTGAGGAAAAATCGCGGGCTAAGGGGTTGAACGAAGTTAGGGAACTGTTCTGTTGGAGGCCCTTGCAGGAAGGATCCTATCACTTTGGGTGTAGCTTGCTTCGCCTCGTTGAGTCCCTGTAGTCGCCGTTCACATGGACATGTGGATCCCTACACCCTAGTCGCCAACAGCTCTAAACTTTCCTAACCCTGGAAGGCCGTGTGCTGGCCTTGCTGAGGAAGCAGGCACGAGTGTTACAAAGTTGTGGGCAAGAAAGCTAACACCCCACGAAGGCCCCCTGCTCTAATTATTACGGCCCATATGTTATATACAAACCTTATAGTAAGCCTTACTTATAACAGCCCTTATAGAACCCCTTTCAAGGGGACTGCAACTGGTCTCTGCTTCCTTCCTATCAGCCTCTGAGTCTGAGCTCCAAGATGCACCGCCTTTCTAAGCTTCGCATGGTGAGCATTCGTTGGGTCTACTTGGACCATAAATAGCAAACCTCCTTTAAGGACTTAAATAAAGAAATGACTTTTATAGAGAAATCGCAATAAATAAGAAGCCCTCAAAGGTAGGTTACGGTAGGTTCTTTAGGGTCCAGGTCGAGCCTAGAGTTTCCAGGTTTTCAGGTTTCTGCTTCTTTCGGATTGAGGGTTTAGGGTCCTACGGTTTAGTTAGGGTTTAGCATCGAGGGTTTAGGGTTCAGCGTCAGGCCGTATCTGTAGCCTTTGCGCCAGATTGTGGTTTCGGGCTGCTGTTCCCAATTCTGTTCGTGTATTCGCAGCATATGATAAAACAGAACCCATATGCAGACCCCAAGACCTGAACCCAAACCCTAGTAACTTAGTACAACCCAGACATGCAGTTGAAATTGAGAGCCCAAGAAAACTGTCCATGGATTTCGGCGATCCTCACAATGTGTCGGCTCGACACAGAAAGACCTTCAGGGTTCAGGGTCGAGGGCCTTGATACTGCAGATAGCTTAAAGTCAGACTGAGGTGCGCTGTAACTCCTTATGGTATACGAGCAGGCATCCGGGGACGGTCAAGACTTTCTACGAACCTCGCGAACACACCCAATCGAACACAAAAGCTGAATTTAGTTTGGAAGCACTACTGTTGAAATCCTAAGCTCAAATCCCTTTCTAATTGTAGAAACCTTGATGTCGGAAAACTATCCCCAGGATGTGGCGCAGGTCCAAAGCGACGAGGATGTTGTCCACGGCATGGCTTTCGAGGTAGCACGGCTAGCTGAAAGCTGTATGTGTGGGCCGCGGCCTGTTTCAGAGATTTGCAGTTGCTTACTAAAGAAGAGCTCCTGTTGTGAATACTGGTATTTACCCTAAACCCTAAACCCTAAACCCTAAACCCTTTACTTGCCGCCCAAGCCTCCAACTGACACAGGTCGACGCAGCAGATTGGGAAGCTGTCCTGGAGACCTTGGACATCCGTGAGAGGCCTTAGTGCCCCTGCGGTTTAGGGTTTACGGTTTAGGGTTTAGGGTTTAGGGTTTAGGGTTTAGGGTTTAGGGTTCAGTAAAGGCAGACCACAACACCCTAAAATCCCTAAGCCCAAAAAGGCTGAAGAATTGAAGTGCAATCCCACAAGCACGCCGCAACCCATGTGTAGATTGGTGCACAATGACAATTCCAATATATCCCTGTGCCGCAGCACGATGAGACGGTATATTCACGACAGCAAGTCCGAGAGATTACCAAATTGGCATGGCCACTTTATAGACGAGATTTTGACAGAAGCAGAACCATATGTAGAGTACCTGGCTTTACACCAGATGCAGGTAAGAGCTAAGCAAACTGTACCATGCAATGCTTGCATCAGTCTTCAGGTGCAGAGAAAATCTACGCCACGCGTACATGGCTCTCCGAAAAAGGACATGTACTGGAACATTTACACAAAGCATACCTTTGCCCCGTCGGACTGTCATAATATAGGGGCCTGCATAACTACCAGCGCTATTCCTCAGAGTTTTCGGGTTTCGGTTTCCTTTTGACCCTTTCCTGCTTATCAAGCCCGTATTACTGCCCGACGAAGATGATGCAACTGGTGCAACAGGTATCCGGTATCCCGATTCATTCTCACTGGCACCTCTAGGCTTTGGAATGTACTCGCAAATCTGAGGAACTCCTAGCCAACATCCGGAATTCCTATTGACCCCTACTAGCCGGAAGACAAGACATCAAAAGACAATATCCTAGAAGACTTGGATGTGGGGGGTGTTACATGAGTCCGGGCAGGATGGATGCGTGTCTGCCTTGCAATCGTCCGTCTTTCTGACAGGCATGGATACACCCGAACTCTGACAAAGCTCTACCCCGTCAAGGGCGACTGTGACAAAGCGTGTGGTGAAGCGGTCATCTACTACACCTACAATCCAGAGCCTTGGCCCAGAAAGATCACATGGGGCCCTTAACTCTGGGGTTTGGGGGGGGTATATGATACGATGATTAAATTTAAGGAACCCCCAAAACCCTATTCTAATTATGAAAGGGCCCCTACATTGCCTCAACCGGTCGCAGCCCGAGAGGCTCAATTTCTGAAGCCAACGTTTTCACGAGACAAGGATAGTACAGTATGGCACGCTAGATACGTATATATATATATATATATATTATGATGAACGAATATGTATATAACCTTATATGAAGGGTACACTGCGAGGGTACAGCGTCCTGGGTCTAGCGAGCCAGCGGAGAGCTGGATCTAGCAGGTTGAGATCAAGCTATCAAAGGCACCGAGAAGTGTCGGGTACAGCGGACGTGTGCAAGTTTGGCGATTCGGGGCTTCTCGTAGAATAGGGTTTAGGGTTTAGGGCTTAGGGTATAGGGTTTAGTAAGGTGTCAGGTGGAGCAATCTGCAGACTAAGCGTCGGGATGGTCTGCACTGAATCCGCTGGGGGAAGGCCAGGCAGGTCGTGACCTGTACGGCTGCCTTGTCCGGTGATGGGCAAATTCCCATCCAACCTTTGCGAAGGCAGCATCGCACTTCAGCACAAGATCGCAGTAAGACAACTAGAGACTCCATTCTGCCTGAATCGCTTACTTATTACCTAGTCAAAACAACTGGTTTACTTGTTGATTCTTCGTGTCACGAAAACGTCTTGACGCAGAAGAAGGCTATGAGGCCTATGAGCCCTTTTAGGGTTTAGGGTTTAGGGTTTTGGGGTTAGGGCTCATAGGGCCAGGAGCTCTGCACCTCAGGACCGTTTACCCTGTGAACCGTGAGCCCCTAAAAGCCCTGCGAACCCTACCCAAAACCTTAACAGCCCTAGACCCTAAAGCCCTAAACCCTACTTGGAGGATCATGGGACTTAGTAAGTAAGGTTATAAGTCCCCTAATTGGGGTTATAAGTATAGTTACCTTAGTTATAACCTAACTTACTAAGTCCCATGATCCTTTAAGTATAGGCCAAGCAGTAAGGCTTATAATAACGGGCAACAGATCAGCCTGATACCTGAAGCCCCCGAACCCAGACCCCCAAAAGGATCTAAAAAATAGATCCCCTAAGGGGGTTCCTATAAAGTACCCTTTAGTAGTTAGGGTCCCTAATTAGGGGATCTATTTTTTAGATTTTTTTGGGGGTCTGGGAAGGAGTGCAGTGCGGCCTACGCTGGCCCAGAGTCGGTGGAGGCAACGGCGGACGTCATCGCCAAAGCTGCGGGGCCTTCAGGGCCCAATGACGAGCCACTTGGTGCCCGCTTTTGTTTCGAAGCTCTCCGGCTCGGTTCTAGGTTTCGCTTAATTTGGAGGGTTTTTTTCGGCTTGTGTTTTCCTTCCGTCTCGTAGAGTTTGTAGTGTTTTAGGGTTTATAGGGTTAGGAGGTTGGGGCTGAGGGATTCGGACGACCTCGCATGTTGCATGCTACGGTAGCACCGTAACTTCAAGAAGCTGCAGCACTGAGTGCATCATCCTGCAACCCACTACTGCCGCTGCCCTCCCAGGTACTTATTCTCTCTGGTGGAGGCGCAATGCCGGGGGTCAAACGCTGCGGATCCTATGCTTGGTCGCGGTACTGTGCTGACAACAGGGGTAAATGGCAGACCCTGCAGACCCAAAACGCTAAAGTGGAGGCTTTAGGGTTTAGGCTTGCAGATTACACGCTGTGTTTCATCCGTGAGGCCCTTCAGGAGTTTGGCTTGCCAGAGGACGGCTACCTAGACAAGCTCCTGAGTGCAGTGCGCCGGAGGGCAGCGTGATTCTTCGAGAGTCAAAGAAGGGGCAGCCACGGTCAGGTTTGTTCAGGGCCCAGGGGTTTAAGTTTAAGATGTCCACGAAGGAAGCTTTCCAGGATCTGTGGTTGAGGACAGCAGCGCGGATTCAACAGGGGTAGGTTGCAAGTTCCGAGCATAAGACTGCACCCCAACACGCATTGCTTTTTTGCACAACTTGAGAAGCGGATTCTAGTCGTACCTATGCGGGTCGTTCTCTAACTTAGGGTCCCGTTTAGGGTTTTTAAAGGGTGCCGTACTATTTTGGGGTACCGAAAAAGGCACCCTCATGTAGAGAACTACCCATACGGCCGTGGCATTGCACTGCAACAAAGCGGACAGCATAGTGTAGTGCTGCACCCTTCCCAAACCAAGTCAGGCCTTCGGGATGGCCACCGCGTGGTCCAATGTTGATAATACATCAGGAAGAGCCTTGGGGCCACCCCTAAACCCAATATACGAGCCGTAGTAATAATGCTACGAAGTTGGGACCCTATGGATAACGACTCTGGTAATTATTCAGGCTTCTACATGAAACCCTAAACCTGCCTAGCTATGAGTTCTCACATGCAAGGGATGGGGTCATAGACAGCCCGACGAGTAAGTTTTCTTGCCCTTTTGCAGTCTCTGATGTGCATGTCTGCATAACTACCAGTCTTTGTGTCTCTGCACAGACGTCTGAAATGTTGTAGTGTACCATACCCCCGTCACAAACACATACACACCATTCCAAGTGCTGAAGGGCCCTTTCTCAGGTTGGCATTATCCAAAGCTGTGTCAGTGGTTGCCGCAGGTTGCATGAGGGAGAAACACGCGCCCTTTGTCACGGGGATCAGGCAGGGCTGATGATCTGCATGGCATATATCGGGATTCAACTGCTCGTCCATGGAAGTGTGGTGTGTTGCAAAGATAGTATTGACGTCGTCACGTGCCTGATCAACTCCATCTGACCTGCGAGATCTCGTTGGTGAACCCGCCGCACTCCTCTGCAGAAGGAGATGAGAACAAGGCGGGCCAAGCAAGCTTGCTGAGTACATTGTCTGGTCTCAGAGTTACGCATGCACTTCGGCAGAAGGTCCCAAACCCCAAAGCCCCCAGAGCCCCAACCCACAGCCCCTAAGCCCCCAGAGCCCCATATGTATTAATCCTAAGCCCTACACCCGCGAAACCTCAAACCCGCTAAGTCCCCTAAGCCCTAGACCCTAAACCCTAAACCCTAAACCCTAAACCCTAAACCCTAAACCCTAAACCCTAAACCCTAAACCCTAAACCCTAAACCCTAAGCCCTAGACTCCGAGACCCGTCATCCCACGTGCATCTGCAGGCCTTTGCTGTCTTCGTCTTTCGGGAAACCTCGCCGCAGGAGACGTGTGGAGCATTCGCAGGAAACACGGTTTATGTCATACGGGTGGTAAGGTTGAGGGTGAAGTGCAGGGCTTTAGGGTCTTAAGATAACGTTTGTCAAAGGTCAGAATAGGCAGCAAATGTGTTTCCGTATGGTTCCCATATCCATACGCAGCATACACCGAAACCCTACTCTACCTTTGAAGGCCCCTCTATTGCGTACGTGTGCTGCGGCGTTATAGGGTTTCAAGGTTCAGGTTACATAGTGCTCAGGCACTTGTATTCATATTGCTTTAACTGTATAGTCTTTTGAAGCCCCATGAAAAGCCTCGAAGCCCGAATGTTACGCCTTTTGAAGCCAGTTTAAACTTTCAAGCCGTCGTTGAGAGACACCTATATACTAAGAAGGGCTTCATACACTACCCCTTACAGAACCCGTGAGAACAACCCTGACAGGGACCCTGTTCGAACTAGTACCTTGTTTCGGCTCGCTTTTGCCTTCTTTGCATGCGAGGAGATGATGGCACCAGCTTTGAAGCGCCGCAGGCCAGGATTTTGGGCATTTCGATGGGTTTAGGTTTTACAAGAGTAGGGTTCAGGGTCTACGGGGTTCAGAGGGTTCAAGGTTTATGTAGGTGGGGTTTACGCTCTTGGATAAAGTTTTTCGGGTTTAGGATGTCGGATTTGCGCGTTTAGGCCTCGGATTACGGTTCCAGGCTTTCAGCGGTTACGATTTGGGGCATAGGGTATAGGTTATAACTTACAACTATTATTGTAAGGTACCCCAAAACCAACCCTATTCGAATGACTAAGGGGCCTAGATTAAACCCTAAGAGTGGCGGGGTTAGGGCATGGAGCCTTAAGGGCCGGTAGGGAGCCCTAAGGGCTCAGTGCTATGACGCATCCAGTCCATTATAAGCCCCTTGGAAAACCGCTTTAAACTTTAAACCCTTGTAGAAGTTTATGGAGCCAGATAGATACTAGATGTGAAATCCCGCTATTCGAGACAGGAAGCTTAAGGTATCCCCTCTATTGGGACCCCTTGAAGGAAGCCTGCTCCTTCTTTTCCTTTCAAGACCCGAATGTAATCGAGCCCTTAAGTTAAAGGGACGCTGTTCTCGTTACGAAGGCCCCTGACACAAAAAAAAAGGAGAAACCATGCGACAAGCTTAAAGGATCCCCCCTAAACCCTAAACCCTAAACCCTAAACCCTAAACCCTAAACCCTGAACGAACGCCTTAAAGGGGAACCCGATTCTTGTTTCTTACGGCTCCCGAGTTCGAAATGCCATCCGATCTCACCAGGATCTGCCCGGAGGGTTTCGACCCCGGGGCCACGGTTCCAGGCCCAGGGGGATCTTTTAAGGTTTCCTGAAGAAGCGATCCTCTGTAGAGGGTTCCTTTAAGGGCTCCCTTTATGCGGGTTCTATAAGGGATGCTTTTAGCTTCGCTCAGGGTTCAAGGTTTAGGGTTTAGGATTTCTTGCCTTGAGATGGAGTGAGGGTTGCATAGGCGCTGGCCGGCACTTCAGTCCGTGCTGACAAGGGTTTAGAATTTTGGGCTCTGGGTTTGGGGATTTTTAGGGTCCGGTTTCGGTTAAGGTTTAGTTAGGGTTCTCAGAATCTTTAGCTGTAGTTATAAAGCTTGTGTAGAGCTAGCTTCATAGGCCCAGGATTCCGTAAGAACTTGAATCATGAGACAGCAAAGTTTCAAGCTGGCCCTATCCTCTAGACCGCTCAACCCCAACCCCCAAACTCAACCTAAACCCTAAACCCTAAACCCTAAACCCTAAACCCTAAACCCTAAACCCCTACACCCTAAACTCGGGGTCCGCTCTGGGTCTTTTGGTAGTCACACGCGATTATTTTACACAGAGTCTCTCTGTCGGACGAGTCTCGTGCCGCAGGGCTCGAGACGTGGATCCGCGCTTCCGCCTCAACCCCTGAACATTAATCTGTCGACCCCTTAAGCCCCAAGCCCCCAACCACCTATAAACCCTGAACCCTTAAACCTTAAACCCTAAGTGATGAGCCCCAAACCCTGAAGCTCGAAGTTCTAAACCCTAAACCCTGAAACCCAAAGTCCCCAACCCTTAAACCCTTAAACCTTGAGCGCGGGACCGTATGAATGGGCCCTAGAAAGCTCCTCGCCTCAACGTTGTAGCATAAGCCATGTTTTGCCACAAGAAGAGCAGGTAAACCAAAACCAAAAACACCTTTAAAGCCCATGTTAACGCGCAGGTGATGTTAAAGCCTTGATCTCGAGGCCCTCTTCTACTTGCTACAGAGTAAAGCCACAATGAACCTTAAACCCGAAGTCCTAAGCCCTTGAACACCTCCCTAATCCCGAACCCGAAGCCCTTTACGGAAAGCAGGTGGGCCGGGTAGATGTCAGGCCCGGATTGGGCAGTGTGGCACGAGTCTGGGGGTTCAGGGTTTAAGGGTTGATGCTTTTCGGAAATTTGGTGGTTGAGGCGCCGAGGGGTTTGGGGTTAAGGGAGCTGAGGGTGTGAGGTTTGGGGGGACAGGGATTTAGGGGTGTTAGGGTTTATGACCTTAAGTTTACGGGTTTGTGGTTCTTACGGCTTCAGGTTGAGGCTTTCAGGATTTTGGTCAAGGTTCTTGCGAACGACCATCTCACCCTTTACCCGTTCGAACCTAAATCCTGAACCGCAAACGCCGTAAACTTTCCGAGAGGCCAAAGAGCCTGCGAGCATCAATGACGAAAACCTCGTGTCAGAGGAAGAAGTTCGCAGCAGATGGGCAGCTTGGATGCAAAGTTGGCCACTGGTGGGAAGTGTAGCGGTGAACAGGAACTGCTTTGCCGCATCTTCTCCCGCACAGGCATGGCAAGGCCAGAGGTATCGCCGATGATCAGAGATAGAGGTCTAAACAATGGTCACCGGTTATTTGTCTCTTTTTTTAATCGTTGTTAGATATAAACCCCGGAACCTATTCTGATTGCCTACATGCTCCTGGCCGTTGCACAGGATTTGCGGACTCTTCTGGGCAAAGGAAGCTTCAGCGAAGTGAGGCTGTGCCAGCAAAATCGGGGAAGCTTTCAAATTGTAAGGGTTTCTCTCTTGGGAGTTCCTTGCCGCCGCACTTGGGTGTACGGCGACGTGCAGGCGTAGGAAGTGAGAGGGCCCGGGATCCGAGAGCCTCAGCTGCCATGATGTAGCTAGGTTGGTTTTTTCTGGCTGGTGTACCTGCAGCATCAGCAGCAAGCATGGGTGGAGATATGCGCACATGATATGACATGCATGTACAGACAAAGGTGTAAGAACACGTGCTGGAAGTTAGACTCTTGAGCCGCTTGTCTACTCGTATGTCTAGTAGCACTGGCAATCCTAGTTGCAATCGCAGCCTGCTTCCGAATAAGAAATTCGGGGCTTGTATTAGCTAACGGCGCTACAACCGTTATTGAGGGTTTTCAGCTGTTCGGGATTTCGGAGGTTGGACTTCGGTCGTCAATTTGGATCTTGGGTCAATCGCGGGGGGGTGGGGGGGGGGGGGTGATGACGACATGGTCATCGCGACATTACGATGGCGACATGATGCTCGACGATGATGTGACGTGCTGGTGATGGGTGATGGTGATGTTGACGATGATGTGACGTGATGTCATGTTGATGGTCATGTTGACTTTGATTTGATGATTATGATGATGATTTCTTTGGGCCTGTCTTCTACAGGAGACAACCCGGAGACAGGCTTAGAGGAATCCCACCAAAAGCTGATCATGATGAGGATGGGGATGAGGATGAGGATGATGATGATGAGGATGATGAGGATGATGAGGATGAGGATGAGGATGAGGATGAGGATGGTGAGGATGGTGAGGATGATGAGGATGATGATGATGATGATGATGATGACCTTCCTAGCTTGCTTGATAGACTAGTTTTTTCGATCTTCCTAGCTGGTGCGATAGACTAGTTTGTTCGGTCTTCCTAGCTGGTCTCATAGACTAGTTTTTGCGATCTTCCTACCTGGTTGATAGACCAGTGTTTTCGATCTTCCTACCTGGCTTGATTTCGATCTTCCTACCTGAATTGATGGACTGTTTTTTTCGATGTTCCTGTTTGATGGTTTATAGACTAGTCTGTTCCCATTATTATTTTTACTATTACTTGTTGATGTTTTTTGTTTAATTGTCGTTGTCGTCATAATTATTATTGTTCTGCTCATGTTGATAGCGGTGATGATGACAACAACGACCACCGTCATCGTGGTGATGATGAAGGCGATGATAATGAAGATGAAGAAGAAGAAGATGATGATGATGATGATGGTGCCGACAGTGCAAACCAAAACAAAACCTGCAAGCCCCAACACTATGTGCACCCCAATAGCAAGAAATGCGCGCGCAGAAACCTTGAGAAGACAGCGTTTTTTGGTGGAAAAACTAACATAAATTCATATTTGGAAAATATAGTCCAAAACAAGCCTTTTGCCTACACGAAACGCGCATTTCGAGAAACAAAGAGGTGCGGAAACAGCGGCGGCGGGTTGTATTAGCAAGCACCAGTCCCAGGAGCTGTGCTGCAGTTTGTGCCATGTCAGTTAATCTGGAAGTTGGACTGCTCAGT